TTACAAAATGCAGAAATATGACGATGTCCTTTTCCATTTTTGTATGTGATTGTTTTGTCTGACAACATAGCTGCGACATAAAACAAACAGAAGCTACAGCATCTTTTGATCAAGCCACAGCTCTTCATAAGACTATATTTAAAAAGTTAAAGGCTAACAACAGCAAACAGTCTTATTGCCATTTTTGTTTGCTAACTGTTGCTTATAAACACAAAAAGCAAATTACTAATGAGGATAATGTTATTTTCCCTGCAAGTAAAAAACTCGGACAAATAAGAAATCCAAATTTTGACCAGATGAAATGATTTTTAACATTGTCGATGTTTTTTTCCATGTTTAGGGGACTGACATCTATTTGTACAATTTGGGGCAGTTTTTAAATTTAAAGGGACTGATGGGACTAGGGAGAGGTATGCGCCCTAATGAGCGCCATTCTATTTGAGTAATGAACACCACCACACACAGTCAAATCGTCTCCCTCTTTACACCCTCAGAGAGATTCTTTCATCCTCAGATTGATTTACAGTGTGAGATGTATTCATATTTTATATAATTAATACTATCAACAAAGTGAGCAAAACTTCAATATCAAGGACTTTTTTATGAAATCTAATAAACAATACTTCTGGGTAAAAACAGATGTAATGGTGGAAAATGTCAGAAATAAGATTATATGATGTAATTTAATCTAGTAGATGTTAGATTGGTCCTGGTTGTGTGTCTTTCGCATCAGAATGTTTAATGGATTGTAAAAGTTCTAATGCTGTAATTGTCTGTATTGCCTACGTCATAAGAGTTTGATGACATTTAGGAATCCCTGATATTGATATATACATATGAGTGTGTATGTAGCAGAGTTGAGTTCTCAAACGGACATTTAGTAGTATGAATGTAGCCTAAGTAAGAATAAGTCTAACTCTAACTTCATGAACCAGCGTCATGCACTTCTCTGCTTTCCATCTGTCAATCTGTTTTCACAAAATGCAACAGATGCCTTCAGTGAGGGAGCTTTCCTTATCTGCCCTCGAAGACAGATAACAGACAACATGCTGACTGATTGAGCAGACACCATGACACCAAAAATCTTAACTGATATAAAATGCAACTGAATTTTCCTTTGACTTTAAACCACTGGTAATTTTTCATGTTCAAGGATTTTGTTGCCTCGAACATATGATGGAGCTCCAACAGCTTGCTGTAATATTAAGGAATACATGTGCATAAGAATGTAAGCTGTGACTAAATTAACACTGACAGCATGAATGTCTTTCTGCTTGTGTTGAACTCAGCAGAGAGCAGAGGCAGAGACAGTATGTGAGCGATTTAATGAAGCGCTTGTTTTTACCTCTGTGACGTCCATGACTTTGATAGCTGCCAGCTGGCCTGTCTTGACGTGACGACCCTGGTGGGACAGATGAAGAACGAGTTCAGATCACAGCCGATATGAAAGACTTAACACCAACATGAACAGTTATTTTTATTTTATTTTTTTTACACACAGAATAAAATAAAACATTCAGTAGTTAAAACTCTTCACAACAGCTATGAGTGTTGGTATTACAGCAAAAGTCACCAAGACAGAAGGTCTCACATGTGACTGTTCCTAAACAAGAACATAACCCATATGTTTTTGTCTTGGGATAAATTGTCTGTGGGAGGAAGAAAAGAAACTGAGCCATGGCTCTACAATCAAACCTGGGTGAACTCCAAATTAAAAATAACTATTCCGCTCTACTCAATGACTATAGAAAATTGAATACATTCCAATTCCAATTTAATAAAGTCAGTAGCATTTCTTCATGTGCCGCCCAAGACCATCTTAATGGATCATCACATACACGGAGGTTCAGGTTCTTCAAATGTTCACATTAAATCACATGTGCTGCTAAGTGAATGGGAAAGATACACAAGCTGGGCCTTCAGTGGAATCTATAAGCATAACATATACACAAACAACTACACAACTTTTGAGTGAACATCTAGATTGTGATATAATTTGCAATACTTGTAGACATAGTTATGTCTACATTCTTTCATTTTCTCATCAGAGTCAGAGAGAACAAGAAACTAATGCAAGATGAGGGGAGGGAGCGGGTCTGCACACAGACACAGATCTGTAAAGTGCAGTCAGGTGAAAAGGGGAAAATTGCAAACCTTGTCATGAGTCAGAAAGCTGACAAGATACTAAGCTAGAAGCTACTCTATAGGCCTTTAAGATGTATGCGTAAGTGTGTGCATGTGTTTCTAACAGACTAGAGGGCATGACAAATCCCACTAGTCTCAATCAGACACTATTCAGGTTTAGAGTTCCAGAGAAAACCTGTGAGAAAAAGATGAACTTGAAATAATGTTTTTTTTATATTTGCCTAATTATGTTTTATTTTGTCACATCAAATTTCAGTAACCCTGTCTATAGTTTCCAAAGAGTAGTCATTTCTCTATCATATACCAGGGCGATAGCACAGTGTTGAAACCTGTGTCTTAATCAACTACTTCCGCATCAGCAAAGTCTTTAATATCAAAGAATAAGATTCAGCAGTTTCTTTTAAACTTCCATTCAATCCGTTACTTTCAACTAGTTGAACTATGTCAGGGTTTTATAACCTAAAGGCCAATTCACACTTTTATGAGTCTGTAGCGACCACAGGAGTCTGCACGGGTTAACGAGGATCCACATGACGTTACTGTTATCATCTACCCTTGTCTGCAAGGGTTAGCACGGACTTCATGTCCATTACGAAATTTGTGTATGTGTAGCAAATGTGCAGACTGTGCACGCACATGACTGCACTTGGTTTAAACTTTCAGGTGGGAAAACGCCCTAAAATGTTGCTGTACTGGGAGCAGTGAGACCGATCCCTGTCAGATAACCACCTGGCTGATTTCTCACATATATTTAACTTTTATACTGGATGTGAGATCTACAGTGTCAGGCTCACTGAACCCAGGTCACTATGGCATTGGTTCTGTCCCCACATAGAGGACATTGTCTCCATAATTGCAAAGAATTGTGACATCGAAAGCCGCCCCTGCTCTCACCGTGATAAATAAGGCAATGGCCTTCCTGTCCCTTTAGACTTAATGGTGTCTGCTGGCTGTGCTGTAACTTATAAATGTGAAATGTTCTTCTCTCAACTGAGCTAAACCTGCAATCTGCTGCACTGACATACACACACACAACACACTCAAAGGGCTCTGTGATCTTTAATTAATTGGAGGAATATTTTGCACTTCCGACACTGACGTCCAGTGAATGTAACACAGCCCTGTGACAAAGTACCAGGAATCAATCGCACATAATATATCCAAACACAAATGCCATCTCCATATCAGTCTGTTGCTTGTTGACTTGCTCTTTATCACACAGACACACACAGAGGCAGAATAAGGGAACTCTACAAATATTGTGTCAGTGAAAAGGTTACTATAATATATTCATACATATGTAAATGAGATAGAGACATTTAAAGTGTTGACAGCGAGGGGACAAATGAGAGACACACTTGTACTTTATCTCATTGTTGTTCTCGGAACTTTAAATGCCTCCACCCCCCTCTATGTGTCCTTTTCTCATATCCTCTTCTGTTAGTTATGTGACTCTGTGCCTCACTGGACTGAATCACGGATCATCCCTCCTCTACAAAATGTAGGTGCTATTTAAAAACACACTGTGTGTGTGTCTGTGTCTGTGTGTGTGTGTGTGTGTGTGTGTGTGACTTTGTTATCATGATATGATTCTAATGTATTTATTGCTGTGGTTTGATTTATGATGTATCTGAGACGAGAGATAAATTGATTAATTAATTTCAACAGATATTAACTGATATTATCTTATCACGGTATGACAGTAACTTTAACATCCATAACTGATTAGGGGTATAAACAATACTGATACTGTCTAGTGGTGAGTTTAGCACATGATTGTTAAATTGAAAGGGGAACTCCATCAACATTATATTAATTTTGGTCATCTCATCATGGGGAGTAAGGGTGAGCAAAAAAATCCTACTCACACTGAATTCAGATTTTTTATGAATGCATACCCAAACTCAAACCAGCAATAAACGTATCTATTTGTATCATTTATAAAAAAACAATGCATTATAGTGTTTTCAAAATAGATATTAAAACATGAGATACATTTATCTACAAATTCCAGAAATCTCTGTCTGTGTGGATTCTCATATCTTGAGAACTGTTCACATGCCAAGCACATAGCTGACTGGCCCGCCACACATTTGAATCACTTTTTCTCATCCACGACCGATTTTGTTTAGTTTTCCAGAAAATGTCATTACAATCTCAGCATAACCACTCCCTTGATTGAATCTACTACAAAAGTCGACGTGTTCTTCATTGGCCCATACCCCAGGCCTCCACCAAATTTCAAGGAAACCAATTCAGTAGTTTGCCTGTAAACAGGCAGACAGACAAACAAACATTACAACATGACCTCCCTTGTGGAGGCAATGATCAGATGGCCCAGCTCTCTTGGGGAGAACTCAGCGTGTGCAGAGACTTGTATAACGTCTGCTGTGGCTCTGGAGGGAGCTTTTTAATGCCTGGGAAAATAACCCTGATTATGTCATCACTGTTACTTTATCTGGACTTCAGTTTGAAAACCGCACATTTTAACAGAGCGCCTGTAGTAACAACTTTAACATAGGGTTTGAGAAACGAGAGCATGTCCCAAAGACATGATGGGAATTGTATAATTCAAAATGTATGGAGCTTGACCCATAACTATGGTATAAAAGACTATTTAAGCCTCTGCTGCATTGATTAAGACCACTCTTCTGTTCATGTGGGTTTGCATTCGTGTTAACTTTATTAAAGAGCAATATAAGTTACATCTTATTCTTAGGATAGTTTTGGCATTTAGAAAGTACAATAAGGAGGACAGCCCCCCCAAGAATATTCTATAGTTGAATTATTCTCACTGCTCCCTATCTCTCTCTCACACACACACACACACACACACACACACAC